TATATATATATATGACCATTTCACTGTTGTTGAAGGAATACTGATTTTAGCAATACACATTCCTAACCTGTGTGCGTTCGCATGTGCCTCTTCAAGTCAAAAGTGTCGTTGAATCCTTTGCCACAAAATCGACAAGGATGTCTCTTTACCAGGCTGTGGCACTTCAGGTGGCGGGTCAGCATGCGCTGCAGGGGAAAGATCTTGTGGCACACTGAGCACCCAAAGTCACCAGAAACAGGGGAAGTGCGAGGGCGAGGCTGTTATGGAAAGGAAACACAGATTAGCCAAAGTTATGAAGACAGTATTTATAATGACAACCAGCAGTAATATTACTTTGAACATGTGTGATCGTGTTCTTGAAATACTTATATGACCACTGCACAGTTTCCCTGTATTTGGTGGAAAGCATTCCACCAACCCTTGATTTCTGAACTCTTCCTGAATTAAAACATTAGTATTGTTGTTTCTAAATGAATGTGAACTTGTTTTGATGTTCCATTTAGTGTCGATGGTGTCGAGATCTGTAGCGTTAGTGAGGTGAAGTTTCTGGGTGTCATCATTGATGAGGGTCTAACATGGAGACCTCGCATGAATCTTTTAAGAACAAAAATAGCCAAATCCATTGCGGTATTGTACAAAGTAAAGGACTTATTTAATGATAAAGCACTGTTTGTGTTGTATAATGCAATAATTGTTCCACACTTAATTTATTGTGTTGATGTTTGGGGAAAAGTAAAACAATAACAAATCCTGTTTTTATTTTACAGAAAAGAGCTATAAGAATTATCACTAGAAAACCTTACAGTCACCCATCAAATTCGTTGTTCCATCAGTTGAAGTTATTGAAATTCTATCATTTGGTTGATTATAGTATTTTGTCAGTTATGTATAAGGCTCAAAAATACATTACCTTCAAACATCCAATTACATTTTGTTAAAAGAGTATGTTGTTACAATTTTAAGGGGATTGAAATGTTTGTCAAACCTAAAATTAGAACTAGTTTGAAGGAACGGAGTACCTCAGACCAGGGAATTAAATTATGGAATAATCTGGAGGATAATGTTAAAAAAATCCAGATAAATATGTATATTTAAGAAAATGATAAAGGTAAATCTGTATGTATGAGTATAAGGCATGAATTGTTACTCAAGAAAGAATTAAACCTTTATCAGTGTGCATTGCCAATGCAATGCACACTATTGTGATACGTTTCCCATCCAAGTCATCTCCACTTTGCCATGCTTCTCCTCCTGCATACTTTGTCCTAGAGCTACCATTGTAATTTATATCTGTAAAGCTCCTATGCCAAATGATGGCTATGCCTTTTGGTGTCTGTAAAACTCATAGTTTATGAAATATTAATGTTTAATGAATTATAATGGCAGTCAATGGAGCCTTGTCCAATACTGCCCCATGATGTACTCAAGTTGGAACTGCACCATAGTTTAATATTTCAACTCAGTAGTTCAGTGTTTACAATACTAATATGATTGTATTTTGATGTTTTACTATAATATTGTCTTAATACGGCTCTATTGTTGTAATATTATGCATTTTTGTGTCAATAATTGTATTGGCAATGTGGCCTCTTTCTGCACACATACAAACCAACCCCTGCCACCACCTTCTGCCACAGCTCCATTGGTCTAACGGTCTATGTCATGGACTTTCATGTGGGAGATCAGGGTACAAAACCCAGCTAATGCAACTTTAACAAAAAATCTCTTCAAACTTCATATTGTCACACAATTACYYTVAYTACAAACACCTGCTGACGTGACAGGCACAAGCTGGTTTAGAAAACACATTTGAACTTGGTCAAAGTTCATTCGGCAAGTCCAATGCTGCAGGCAATGACATGCTACATGGCAATGCACACTTGTTTTTACATCGTAAAAACCCATGTCGAGTTATTTTTTCTTTCTTTTTTTGTACGTTGTAATTTGAAGATTTTTTTTGATTGAATTTATTTAAGAAAAAGGGACAGAAATCATGCGATTCTTTTCTTCTTCTGCTACCTTTCATTTAGTTTGATTTGTTTTTTTTGTTTTTTTGTATGTTGAATTTATGGTGTTTTGTTTTAAATTAATAAGCTTTATAATAAAAAATATTTTGACTACTCAAAAATAGAGTTCTAGATATCTTCAAGTTAGTTTTGACTTGCCATTATTTGCTTTCAAGACATCTTGCTTTTTGTTCTGATGAGTCATAATTCCAAGGTATAAGATTTAAATTACATTATTCAGGTTATCTTAAATTTTTTTGTAGATATCACATATATACATTTGAGGAGTGCAAATTAAATTGCTGATATCTTGAAAACAAATACCGACTAGGCAAAACTAAGAGATAAATAGAATTGTAATTTTGACTAGTCAAAATATCTTTTAAGTTATCTCCAAATTAATTAGAGATATCTTGAATACTTTTTTCAGATGACCTTTTTATTTTAGATATCTTGAAAAAGTATTTTTGACGTAGAAATGTTACAGATTTACGTAGCATTTTGGCAAAAACTTTCTAAGACATTTTAGCCTTACCCTTCCACTAGTCTTAATTGTTTTCATGTTTCTCTTTATTCTTAATTATTCCAGTTTCTTCCGTACATTTTTTGGACCGCTACTCCTTCTACAATTTTTGTGCTACTTATACCATTCATATATCAAAATGTTCAGCTCATTCAGGACATTCTGGCTACGACTTTTGGTAACTTAACTTTTTATACTTTTTTAGCAATTTCAATTTTTAAGCAGTTTTTTTCCCATTGACTTTGAATGGGTGCATTTTTGGACGGCTTCTCCTTCCACAATTTTTATGTTACTTAAACCATTCATATACCAAAATGTTCAGCTCCTTCAGGACATTCCTGCTATGATTTTTGGTTTCTTCAATTTTTATAGTTTTTTAGCAATTTCTAATTTTACAATTTTGATGATGATGATGTCATCAGTGACATCATCAGTTACATCAATGACATCATCAGTGAATCATCAATTTGTTTCTTAGCTTCAGCAAAAGTTAGCAGTAAGAGGCATTCACACTTGCATTATCGCCGGAAATGCAAATTCTTTATTTAATTTGCTGTTCAGGTACTTTTACTCTACTTGAGTGAAATTCCAACTAAGAAACTGTACTTTTACTTGAGGACGCAATTTTAGGGGTTTTCCACCTCTGCCATCGGCCCCCACAAGAAAAAGACCTAAAGATAATCCAGACATTCATCTGGATGGATGAATTGAAGGAAGCACATATAAAGTAAAGAGTACTAAACACTAAACCCTGAGGAATTAGGACTCATCTTTAAAGTCTGCAGTCATTATTTAAAATATTGCTTCTTTTTTAGATTACTTTTCAGCATTTCTAAATAAGTACATTTCTATTTGTCTTTTTCTCAAAGTAGTCTTGGTGTTTTAGCCTACTTGAACAGTCAAGTTAATGCAGATTAAAACACAGCAAAATGACCAAATATTGAGCCCATTTAAACTGATCCATGGTACATTTGATCACATTGAGTGACACTCGATTTGACAACAAAAGTCCAACCTTACCTTTGCTCTACTGATGAGTGCCAAAGTAGCTGGAAGATAGAAAGAACCCATTTTGGACCAGCCTTGCCTGGTGTCTGAGCCTGGTGTTTCTGATCGGGTCAAAGGTTCTGGAGCTTTAACTGTTGCTGTTCCACATCCTGAAGTGCCTGCTGGCTCAGGCACAGAGACAGGCTGGCTTTCTCCACTGACGATTATCTTCTCTGGAGTCAGTT